TATGTCTGCCCTCTTGGGGGACAGTGTCACGCGTCAATTCTTTCTACTGCTGTCCTTCCCAATAGTCAGATATCCTCCAAAACTGACCCAAGCTGTGCCCCGGCATCATCAGAAGCCAAGTCAGCCCTGCCCTGTGTGTCCTGGCTGACCCCAAGCTCGTTTAACGTGTACCTAGAGGCAGACTGTGGGGCAGGCTGGGCAGTAGGCCAAGACCAAATGTTAAGCCTTACCGAGCTGTGCTGCTTTCCTCAAACAGGATTCAGCCGGACTGCAGTTAATGCAACTCCGGAGTCAACCCTGGGGCCGGGAAGCGCTTGTCTGCGGAGCAGTGCTTAAGCGTGAGCTCATGCGGTTAAGTGAGGATGAGCAGCTGGAGCACGTGGGCTGTGTTCACAGCTCTGGGCCTGGCTGCTCTTCAGCGAACAGCGCATGGAGCCAGCGCAGGCCTGCCTCAGCTGCATCTGCACTGAGCTTGCCACACTGCTCGCCTTTTCCCTTCTGAAAGAGCTTGCCTTGATCCATTTATAGAAGAGACCGGACGAAAAAATTCTGATTATTCTTTTTTTTATCAAACAACTTATTGTGAATTAAATGGACTTTACCAGTGCACAGCCAGAGATGTCAGCGACCTCTCCTCCACAGCTGCAGAACATATAATGCCTCTCATTGCTGAAAGTGGTATTTCCTGTTCAGACGGCACATTTTGAAGGGAGCCAGTCTGGTGGGATGTTAGCACTTCCTATCCTATAAATAGACCAGATGAGTATCACTTTCAGGCTCAGAGGAATACATTTCTCATTTCTTGAGGGAAGTAACAGTATCTCTGGCAGGATTCTCGGAGAGTTTTTTACTTGCTGATGATGTCTCCCCATACTCGAGATTGGCCTTGCTCGTTAATGAACGAGTGTGCTTGTTGCAGACGTTCAGAGGGCTATGAATAGCTGCAGGGGCACGATACTGCAGCTAAGGTCAGGGGAGTCCTTGCTGCTGCGGACTGCCAGGTGGGCAGAGGAGGAAGGTGAGAAACACCGTGGCAGGCCGTAGGTTGGATGTTAAATGAACAGCAAGGTTGGTGAGGAGGGGAACTACCAGTTTATTCATAGATTTCCTTCCATGTTGGCAGTAAGGATGATTCAGCAAACAGGGTTCCCTGAGGACAGGGGTCTAGAGGTGACCTCTCAGGAGTTGCACACTTCTCCCTCATTGTGCAGCTTGCATGTGCTACATCCTCTCTGTTTCTGAGCCCTGCTGCTGCCATTGTAAGGTAGAAGCTGGTATGGGAAGTCTTGGTAATTGAATATGCTGGCTCAGTTGCTCAGTTTTACAAGCTTAAATAAAATAAACTTCTGCGTTCAGCATTTTGTTTGCCTGATTGTATGAGCCTGGAAGCTGCATGTGTAAATGAATTTGGTTGACATTGGGCTTGAATGAGAATGCTTCCTGTTGTTGCTTTTAAATACTGGGAAAATGAAATTCCAGTTCCTGATCCCACTCAGATTTAGAGATAAAACCCTAAAGAAAGTAGGCAGCCAATACATATTTGTTACTGTGCCTCTACCGTGTGTGAGGGTTTGAGAACCTTGTCAGGAACAAGAGAGAGGAGGTTTTGGGGAAAGACCATCCAACAGATTGAAATGTAATAGTATACAAGTGCTGTATACTAAAAGAAATTCCCCCTCTATGGCATGTGCCCTAAGGGTGCTGCGAAGTGTCTGATCATACAGCACCCGCTGAGCCACACGTTTGATTTTAAATTTAAATAATAGTTGGGACTAGAAAGCGGGGAAAAATGAGTGGATGCTGTGACAATTCAGCTGTTCTTGGAGCATCCAAAAGAAGGTGGTAAAATGTTGGGGTGGATACTGTTAATTTTTTTAATATAAAGGAGAGTTAGAGCCCACCCAGGAGGAGTTGCATCACCACAGAACAAGGAGTAGGAAGAGGGAACTATACCACTGTGACTCCAGAAGGTAGCAGAGAGCTGGGCTTCAGCGATTTGCTTGGTTATTTATGCTTGGCATATGAGCAGTTATTAATTGCTCAGTTGAAGAAAATGCATCTGCTGTGTTGGCCACTGTGGATGCAAGTAAAAGACATAGAAAACCTATGAACCAAAAGTTCCCAGACTCGGTCCATCGATGTCTACAAGGTAGCTTTAAGTCATCTGAAGCCTGTCTTTGGAGCAGTGCTGCACAGTAAATTATGTAGTATTTTATTACGAAGATTTAAAGGTTGAGGGCTTTTGAGGGTGAGAAGCAGTGCGCAGAGTACTGCTACTCGAACAGGAGGGAAGTTTGAACTATTTAGGGGAGACCAGGGAGGTCGAGCAGTCCCCTTTGATCCCTGAGAACAGGTTACAGTTCCTGCATCCTGAAGCAAATTTGCTAAATCACTTGGTGTTTCTGCTGCAACAGGATTTCCTGGCCCAGTTATTTCTTTATGAAGGCCTGTCTCATTCTGGTTTTTCACTGCTTGCTAAATGTACAGAGGCACACAGGCATGTAATCCATTCTCCTGGGAAGATCCATTTTCCCCTCGTTGCCAGACTGCAGTCATGTTCCATCCATTTTGCTTTCTAAAAGCTTCTCTCTCCTCTCTCCTTCATCAGTTACCTCGCTAACATGGCTGCCATTTCCTCTTTGGGGTGGCTTTTTTTGTTGTTTCTGTTTCTTTTTTGCATTAGGTGAGACAAGTGTTTGGGCAGTGGGCTTTAACGGCATCATCCGGTCACGGGTATGGAACACGGTGACGAGGGAAGAGAATTAATCACCACACTAAAAAGATTAATGTTTTGTTTTGATCATTTTGCATCCCACCATTGCATTTCAACTAACAACGAGTTTGTCTTTGACCTACGTGCCTCAACTGCTCGTTAAGGGCGCACGCACTGTCATAACCACTAACAACTGCTTGGGTTTGAAGGTAATTGTGTTTATTTTCTGGTTCATGCTTCAGGAAAAATTAAAACTTGATGCTGAGAGGGAAAAACTAGAGAGGCTTCAGGAGCTTTACTCCGAGCAGAAGACGCAGCTTGATAATTGCCCTGAGTCCATGAGGGAACAATTACAGCAGCAGCTGAAGAGGGTCAGTAGCAAGTTTCAAGATTGCACTAACTTTTTTTTTTGTTGATTTTTTTTTCTTTTTTAGAGTTAAGTGTAACACATTCTGTTTCAAGTATCCAGTGTCCGAACGTATTTGCAACCTGTAATTGTTAATAGTCACAAGGGTTATGGTTTTTTGTGGAATGCTTGTAATAGATGATGTGCACAGTGGCGAACGCATAGGGCACAAATGGGCAGAATAAAAATAATTTTGTGTTCAATGTTTTTTAAAGCTTTGGGCTACTTGCCTGTAATTAGCACCTTAGGCCTGCTGGGTGGTGTGGAAGCTGTTGTGATGTTTAGATGGATGTTGGAGTATCACTCTGTCCCTGTGTGAGCAAAGACAGGGACTGAACTTAGGTCAGTGGGATCAGCCAATTTAGCAGCACGTTCCTGCTGCTACTGGATGATCCTGTTGTGTATTCCTCCTTTGCAATGCTGTACATGGCTGTCTCAGTGAAGCCGTGGCTAACTTGTTTCTTTCAGTGTACAGCTTGGCTGTTGGTCTGAATTGTGCTTTGAAAAATTAATTTTGAAGATTATACCACTTATTAAAATAGCTTTATTTTATTTTTTTCCTACATTTTCAGCAGTTGCACATTGGTATATTAACCTTTGCGTAAAACCTAATTGAGCTTGAATTTATTTTGTATTATTTGTAACCAAAAAGCTAAAATATTGCCTGTGAAGATATAGTTTTTTCCCTAGAAAGATTTTAGTACTCATTAACGTTAAGTGGTTCTACAGCACGTATAGCTAGCTATAGTGGGTGAGGGGAAATAATTTTCAAAGCGTCAGTATGGCAAGCTCAAGAGGCCATCTGAAAGTCAAACTTGATTTTTAAAATTGTTTTCTTCCTGGCTTTAGATTTCTTTAGATTTTTTTCTTTAGATTCTTTAGATTTTGGTTTATTTGCAGAATTCTATTTTGTTATTTTCAAAGAGCAAAAAGTAAAAAAAGTCCGCTTTTGGAAATAACAATGTTAAATTCTTCTGTAGTAGCTGAGAAGTTTGCTGGTTTTGAGACACAGAAGGATTTTTGTATATTACCTTTAAAAAAAAAAAGGAGTATTCTGTAATATCTCACATACTAAAGGGAAAGGAAGTCTTTCCTGTCCAGTCACGTACTTGATGGTACTAATTCATAAGAAGTTGCAGTCTTGTTGCTGTGGGATGGTAGTAAACCCTTATCCACTATTGACCACCAAGAGGCTTCTAGATTTCTGTTTGGTTAAATTTTAAAGATTTTTTTTTTTTTTGCCTTCAAAGTTGGCTTAATAACTATTTTGGTTTTAAAAGTGGGACAAAACTTGAAGCATGGGGGTGCAGTTAAATGTCCAGTTATTTGCGTATTATTTCAGGCCAAGTATAGTGACTCCTGTGGTTGAAGCAGTACAAATTATCACTGGATTAGTGCACAGTAACTCTCAAACAGACATCAGGTGTGAGAGCAGTCATGAAATTGCTGTAAATATCATACCCAAAATAGAGAAAATATCTTTTTCCCCCAAAATAAGCCCAGTACAGGATTAAATTATACCATCCAGAGGGACCTGGACA